AAAAGAATTAGCAGAGGATTTTCAAAAAAAATTATAAATGATCATTCTTTGTTACTCATCAAAGATTTTGATAAAAGTTGAGAAACAGACTCAGAGGGAAGCAAGTACGACAACTTGGCTTAGCTCGTGACACAAAGCTTGCCTAAAATTTAATCTTATGTAAAATTGATATAAATGTCAAAAGTAACTTTTCATAACGGTGAAAATATTTTATTGATTTTATTCGGATTTTTTATGGCTTTCGGACACCACATTTGTGACTGGTGGGCCCCATTTCCCCTTTCTTAGCTCCTGTTGAGAATATAAACACGGAATACTTTAATACCAGAGAGATATAACTTAGGTTTATAACTTTATTACTACAGAATTTATACGTAAAACAGGTTTACGTTTATTGTTACATGACTCCGTTTTAACGCTTTAACTATTATTCTATCGTAAGTTACGATATTAAAACTTTATAAAAAAAAAAGAAAAAAAAATCAGTTTAATAGGAAATTTTTCAAACACCTTTTTTGCCATCGTAAAACCCGATACACTGCAGCAATATATCAATATAATCTATTTACGTTTATATGAATAATTGAGAGTAAACTAGGGAATTCAATAGTTACCAAATATATTTTCATAACGTTAAGATAGTATTAGAAGAACAATATGTTAATTAAACATTTCTAGTGTAAGTGGTACAGGTAAAATCCATTAAAAATAAAAATATGCTGCAAAAGTATAAATTTATCATGCATCTTATTCATGCTTTACTTTTATTATAATTTCTCTTTTACGCTGTGTAAATTTAGTAAATAAACGAAGAAAATATTAATAAAACATTAAAGTCGAGTTGAAATTTATAAATAAAGAATCTTTTCTAACTTATTTAATATTTTAAAACTAAATATAAGAATTGGATGTTACTGAATTCTCATTTTCTCATATGATTAAGTTTGATAAATATAATGTATACAGAATAAAATAAAGTATTTATTAAATTATAAAATAAATAAAAAGTTAATAAAATCTCTTTAATATTTATATTTATATGAGATAAATAAAAAATAATATTTGTGAAATGTGCATGTCGTACACGAATGTAAACACTTATAAATAAATTCACAATTCTAGAAAATATTACACTAGCCTACGTAGCAAACAGACTGTAAACGAAAAGGTCCATGGTGTGTTTTTGGATATATTTTAAGTACTTTTTGATAAAATTGAGTCAGTGATTCAAGTGTCTTAGACTTATTAATATTGTCTTTACTTTATTCAAAATATCAATGTTTTGAATTTACTAAACTTTATTTCACTTTAAACTTAGTGATTACGAGCAATAATGTATCAGTTTGAAATTAAAATTTTGTAATCTAAATCATATTGCTTGTAAACCGTAGAAATTTTATGTAAGAATTTTGAAATTTCACTTTTCTTTATTCTTTTCTAATTCATTTTAAATCTTTTCTTTTATTCTCTAAGAGAAAAATACTTTGTTTTAGAAACCTTATCAGAAATAAATGTTATGTGGCTTTAAATTTATTACCTAAAGTGAAATCCAACCTCAATATAGAGTTCACCTAAATAACACCATCTTTGTAAATCTTCAATGAATACTTCTTATGAAAGGACACTCATAAATATTAAATACAAAACTTTTAATATCTGTGACTTGCTAAATATGAAATTTTGCATTGTGAAAACAATGTTATTCACATTGTTTTCACAATGCAAAATCAATGTTATCGTTCGCGATACTTCAGTTTAGCGCCACACTCGATTTAATGATGCAAATACGGGTAGATGATGCCTTTAAATCGAATTTTTAAATATCTTTCTATACCATATACTTTTACAAATAATTTAATGTAAAATATATATCATAGATATAATATACGTATAGTACTGTACATATATAATCTATATTAATTTCTAAATGTAACGAACGTGACATAGTATTTATATTATTTTATCTTATCTTTATTTCTCTCATAAAGATAAAAGAAGCTTTCGTAACTCAATAAAGGCTTGATTAATTAAAAACTTCATTTTTTATATATTTTTCTATATGAAATTATGTTTTTTTATATTATTTTTGTGTATAAAGTTGTACACAATCTTTGAATTAAAATTCATAAACACTCTCTGCTTGCGAGTTAATAATTTCCATCAATCACCGAGAGAAACAGTTTTGGGCATTTATTAATTTATATATTTACAAGTTTTAAATTTTTAATAAAAAAATATTATTATTAACATTTATTATATTTTATTCGGTATAAAATACTCAAAAAGATGAGGTTTATTACTAATTTTTCTAATGCCTTGTACAGCTACTTTGATGTTAATTCAGAAGAAAATTGAAGAATTAATTGGGTTTTATTAGGACTTTTATATATTATTTTTGAATAAATAAGGGCAATAAAATATTAATATATTTTAAAAATTATTACTTTTTAATTAAATATATTTTAAATTAAAATAATACATTCTTTAAAAATATTTTTTTTATTTTATTTTATTAAAAAATAATATTTTGAAAAGTATATCTTAATAAATACTTTAAAATTATACAAATGAATTAAATTGAGAATCGCAGATTAGATATATGAAAATGAATTAACGTAAATTGATTTATATAATTTAATAATTTACATGTTGATATTATTATTGAACATATTACATAGTACTTTGAATATAATAAAGCATTTATACTTTATTCTAACTTAGTAACAGTAAAATATACAGAATAATATAACAATAAGGTTATAAAACTGTTAGAAGCCTTGCTTTAAATATATATATAAAAAGGCTTATGATAGTCTTTTAAGGGTGGCCCAAAAATTATTTGACTATTGTGAAGATTAAATTATTGTATTATTCAAATATTTAAATATTTAATTATATATTTTTACGATCTTACCAATTTTGCAAAGAATACTTTGTTTAAAACTTAGTTTACAAATTTATAAGTATATTTTATATATGCATATATGTATAATTGACTATCGGGACACCCTACTGCAGGATTGCAAGTTTCATTAAAGTATTTATTGTTTGGAGTCCGACCTTTAAGTGCCTCTACATTTACTTCATTCACTACATTTGAAAATAGAAAGCAGTATAAATATAAAGGGTAATTATTTACAGGAATCGATTTTTTCTGTACTTTTCTATCTTAAGTAAGAATAATATCGGAGAAAGATTTTATTCTTTCACTACTTAATATTTACACAATGCTTTGCCAGAATTTGTAGTCTTCTTCTAATTTTGTATCCCTTAGTTGATCTGAAAAGGATTGAATTGGATTAATGGAATAAGATAATTAACACATGGGTAATCTGCCAAAAGGGGAATGTGGCCGGGAGAACTTCCTAAGGAAAACTGACTCCTACAGTGGCTTTTTTTCTTTTTTGAAAGAATCTACAAGTTGCTATTGCCGCACTTCTTATATAATTACAATGTTAATTTTTTGTGGTTTCGCAAAATAATCCGAGGATTCCTTCAAAACATGTGTTTTTAATCTTATTTGTGCCATAACTCCTTTGACAGTTTGATCAAATATATGGATTCCTTTTCGGAATAATGTTTTTAAATACATAAAATAACATACAAGATTACAAAAAAGCAATTAAATTGGAGTATAACTGTTACAAAACTACCGTTATAGTAATATAATGGTACTATAATATACAGCGAACTTTCGATATAGTAAACTCTCAATGGCCTAAGCTAATTTATTTACTACATGAAAAGTTTATTATATACATAAGTAATAAATAACAAGAGTCAACAATATTGTTCACCATATTAAGACTACACTGTGCGTGCTTCTTTATGAATGCATTATGTAATACTTAAAAGTTATTGAAAATAATGATGTAATTTTTCTGATTATGTTTACAGACCATCTGAAATCTATTCACAGACCTTCAAGGAGTCCATAGACTCCAGCTTGAGAACTTCTGCTCTAAGACTTGTAGAAGTTTTCTCCAAGACAAGAGGATTAAATATAATTTGATATAATTAGATGTAGGTATAATTTGGTATAAAAGTTTTGAATTCTATCTTTTTCCTTATAAGTTTTTTTTATAGTGAAGTTTTTTCCTCCTGGCTACATTTCTGCTTTAAACACCTTTAAGAGGGAAATATAAGAAACTTAATTAAAAGTGAAATTTAAAAAACTCTTGTATATTCTAGTAGTATATTATTAATTGCTTTTCAATATTGTAATAACTTTAATTAATAATAACTAGATAAAAAATTCAATAGTTTAATCAATTTATAAGTAATTAATGTCAGAAAATTTATTTTGAAAGTAAAGTTCTTAAAAGATTTTATTGATTGATAAATTTATTTTTTAATTTTTTAATATAAATTTTAATTTAACATCTAAACTTCATTCTGTTGATTTTTTAATTATATATTCAGATATTTAATTTTATTTATTTATTATTTTTTTTATAAATATTGTACTAATTTGTAAAGTATTCGATTTTTTATTCAGTGGAAAAAAATTCAATATTTATTTATCAAATTTTAAAATCAAAACGTAAATATTAAATTTAAAAAAAAACAATTAAATAGTATTCGTACCATTGATGAGAAAATAAGTTTATTATTACAGTTAAACCTCGATATAACGTCTCCTAAATGTTATCATTCTCATAAGAGGCTAGTAAATGCTTATCAATGGTTCTTCTTCGTAAATGTTAAACAGAGAACCTTTCAGTAACTGTAGTTATTAAATATACGATTTGCATTGCAAACGACAATGTTTATCATTAAATCGAATGAATTTCAAACGTGTGTATAAATTGTAGTATATATATAATTTCTATTGTTCGGGGTACTTCACTTTAGTGCTATACACGAATTAAAATTAACTTCGGAGGTGAACAATTATTGGCACTTAATCGAAGTTTGGCTATTATCGTACACGCGAGTGAAGAAAATAACTTTGCTTATATTGAAAACGATTAAAAAAGCGTTATTTTTTTGAGCATTTTATTTTAACTAAGAATAAATATATATTTATATACATTTTTTCTCTTAAATTTTGGCAACAAAAACGACAGAATTACTGTAAATCTATTGTTTTTCTTTACAAATTTCAGTTTATTAATATGTTATTTATGATCCAAATAACATCCAGTGGCTTTGGTGACACTACTAGTAGAGCCCCATTTACGAGCAGTGTCAAGAAAACCTCTTAGTTTTATACAATAATTCCAAGACAAACCTCATTCATTCTCTTCACACATCATGACAACCAACATGTCTAACACATTAAATTGTAAATATAGCACCTATCTACAATACAATATTATTCATGACAGAAAATATACAGCAATAAGAAGAAACTGATAAGGTTTTTCTTTTTTGAGAATTAAAACATCTAATTATCTATAACTAAACAGCAGAATTTGTTACTTTAGTGTGCGAAGAAGAATTGTTGAACGAATCGCACAACAGTAATCTATTACACGGTGAGTTACAAGATATAACTTTATGAAATGCTTTCCTAAAATTATCGGAGAGGAAAGCGTAAAGGATAGGATTTACGCAAGAATTCATATATGCCAATGTATGAGATGTAATTTGTACCATAAGTCGAAATGGTGTAATTTCGTAGGCGTTGATACTCTTTAATAGGAGCACAATTTGAATTGGACACCAACACACTGCAAATATAACAACTACAACAACTACCATTCTGGTAACACGTTTTTTTGATCTTAAACTTTCCGCACTGACGTGTCCTCCGGGTGAGTTGCCAAACCATAATCGCTTTAACATTAGCATATATAAACAAAATATGAGAGCCAAGGGTACTACGTAAGAAGATAAAAAGAAACATATGTGAAATGCGGCTAAATTATACCCTTCTTCGGATAAAAACCCGCAAGTTGAGTAATGAACGTTTTCGATAACGAAGGGAAGTTCTCCGTGTGATTGAGAAACCGGGATACACGACAATAATATGAGGCACCATAAAAGACCTATGGCAATATAAGCATTTTTTTCGGTACGGATAGACATAGAAGTTATAGGATGAACAACTGCGAGAAATCTATCTAACGACATCAATACTAATGTGTAGATACTAGCGTAAGCACATACAATGACTAGATACTGTACTGTTTTACACCATATATCTCCAAACGGCCAATATGGGAATGCATAGTCCCATGCTGTAAATGGTACACAAAATATAATAAACAGAAGGTCGGCTACAGCTAAATTGATGATTAAGATGTTAGTGGTTGAGCGCATTTGTGAGTTACAAGACACCACAACTACAACTAAGGAATTTCCTAAGAGTCCCACTGCCACGATGATTCCAAATAGAGTAGGTACGAGGATGCTGACAATATTTACAATTTGTTCCATGGCAAGGTTATCACTATAAGAATATTTATCGTATTCGTAATTTTCAGCATCGCTGCAGTTTGTATAATTACAGGTTTTTTGAATTAATTCGTATATCTTGTGTACACTACTCTGAGTGCTTGATGTGCCATCTGTATTTGAAATATGGTTATTTTCTGGGATATTATTCGGATCGCTGTCTGTCAGACTCACTAAGAAGGACATTTTCTGTAAAAAAAAAAGAAAACCTTGATTAAAATTAATTTATTTATAATATTTCATTAAAATTATCTACTAAATTAAATGAAATAACTTAATTTAGAACTTTTGAATATACGGAACACGAAATAAACATAATAATGTAAGGAAAACAGATCAACAGTTATAAAAGTTTATGACTTATACATTGATAAAAAATTACCTTAAAAACACTTTTAAATTTATGAAAAACTTAAAAGTTGAAGCACTTGATAAAAAATTTATTTATTTTAAAATATTAATGTAAAAATTTCAATGATTTCAGCAATGTTAATATTATATAAAATTATTATATTAGTATAAAATTAAGGGTCATTTATATCTGTAAAACTTAAACATGGCTATAATTAGTTTCTATAGATTCATTAATTTAAATAACTTCATAATAAAGGTAAATTAATGAATAGAAAAAAATACTTTTTGAAACATAGAATTTCTGTTAATAGTTAACACGAAATTAAGAAAGAAAAATTGTTTTCAATGTTTTATTAGATGAAAAGAAAAATGTATTACGATACATATTGATAATAAAATAAATTATTTAAATAAAAATTTAAATAGGGCATTAATAACACAAGATATTTCAAAAGTCAGTTAATCAAAATACAGCATAATTTTAAGATAGTGACTAAATCACATTCTTTAAAACCGGTTTTAGATATTCTTGAAATAATGTTAATAAAATATTTCGCGGTTAACCGACTTTTGAGCCTTCTTGTGTTTGCATTTAAGTTACATTAAAATTATTTCTTTTTTTATTAATTTGCATATAGAGGAAACCGGAGCAGAACGGAATACTTAAGGCTTTAAGGGTTGTTAAATTGTAAAGGATACAAATAGACATTTGAAAATAAACAAATTCATATTTTTAATCGCTTGACAAGATAATATTTCTTTCAAAACTACAAAAAATTAAACATATCAACTGTTATTTATGATATAAAAAACACGCACTTTGGCCCATCTACGTCGATCTCCGTCGGAAAAGAACACTGCTATATTTATTCTTTAAAAATAATCAATGATAAAATTACATTGTTCTGTAATTTATTTTGCTTTATGTAAATATTATTTGTCAAAATTAGTTGTATTGCACATGGAACACTTTCTTGAAAAACATTTAAAAAGTTAAGTAAAAAACTGTTTATTAATATTATTTAATTAACAAAAAATTCACAAAAGAGCATAGCATCTTCATCATCAGTGCACTCCAGCATATGAATTATGGTCCATTTAAGACAGTTCTGGTAAACTATTTACCTTTCGACAGATCCTGCCCCTAACGCAGATGTTCGAATGTTGTTAGTCTACGTTAGAAATTGAAGAATTACAAGTAGAATCCACGGTTCGAAGTGCAATATTAAAGAAATAGCAGTGGGTATAATATCTTAACTTGTTTGACTTATCCCGAGAATAAGAATCAGTAAAATTAGAATATGTTGCTGGAAAAAGAATGAACTGTGTAAGCACGTGGTTACCAACTCACAGTGAACTCGATAATGCAGCAGGTGCACGGCTGTAGAATCTTCTGTGAAGTTTTTTTAGATCTCGCTAGTTTACGCTACCTACTGGCCAAAATATATGAAGAGTTCTGTTCCGCTCCGATTTCCCTACATTAGACATTCATTAATCTGTCACCCGATAATCCAGAATCGCCGGTAATGCGGCATACTGCAAATCATAATAATGTTTTGAATGCTCTAAAGACTCCGAACGGAAATCGAGGCGAAGTTGAAGATGCGGTAGTGCACGTTGCTACATATAGAGAGGTCATCAGCCTAAAAGTAGTTAGGAATTCAAACTCCTATGCAGTATAACTTAATTTGGCAAGTACTGTACGTATAGTTTATTGTACCCAGACCAAGGGCTGCATTGGTACATATATGGCCGTATACGTCGTACACTTTCTGGGTTTTATCTTAAAATTGTGTATATCTTCTGGCTTTTTTCCCTCTGCTTCCGAATCTTAATTAATAGTTTGACACAAAGGGATGTGCCTTCCTTCGACTGCTAAAAGATGCAATTGGAATGGAAGCAAGGTCAAATTGCATTTATGAGTTTTCCGTTTTCCCTACTGGGATGTCTCAGCTTGTTTGTTAAGTTATGACAACGCAACACTTAGGCGATCTGCCTAGGGGAATGCCTTTCGGGAGGTCTTTTTTTTTAAGGAAACTGGCCCCTATTTAGGCGTTACCCGGAAAACTCTACGTGGCCAGCTCGTCCGAGCGAGGCGCAAACCCACGACTGAACTCCCAGTGTTCATAGTACGAAGACCACTCAGCCACTGGTGGGCTGAGATGTCTCAGATTCAGGGAGCCAGAAAATCAGTAAATTAGCACCTCTCTGTGCAAAATGTAGCCTTAAACTTTCTAGGCATTTGATTGTGTGGGAAAGGTCTTTCCATTTCTCACAGCTATAAACGAAATGAGGCCTTTACCATACAACCCTGGCATCCTAAATCTATTTATAGCTCTATAAAACCACCAGCTTAACGTTACCGGCTTTAATAAAAGAAAGGGCTTATCACATCATTTCCGTGGTTTTATAGTTGTATACAAGTGGGCAAAACGCGTCATTTATAATTTCTGTTTAGAATCAGTTCCTTCACGTTGTAGCATCATCTGCACAGAACAAAATACAGCTACATTCTGCTTCGGTAAGTTTCGTTTATCTACTGTGCATTTTTTATTGAATAAATAAGTAATTATTTTAAAAAAGTATGTACATTATTCTCGATAGGTCATTTTAATTTTCTATTTTAACAGATTAATATACTCGGATACGTTAGATGGCGGCGAATTGAACTTTAGCTACGCCATCTGGTAGGATTTAACCAACACATATGGTACACAACAAGAAACTGCTATGGGTGCCTGATTAAAAACTGGAAAATTAGGAAAGAGGCAAGTATGAACAAGCTTCCTGACCTGTAGACTGGAATTGTCGGTAGGAGATTCAATGGATGATGTTAGAGGCATTAATCATTTCAAATGTTTTATGGGCAAATTATTCAATTTATACAGTCAGTCTCCCAAAAATTCTCGTGCTTTGGCGTCTGCTTGCAAAGACCTTGGTTACCAGTTTCAAAAAATAGGATAGATTCTTGAAGTGAGATGAGTTGTAAGCAATTTTCGCACCGTATAGGCCGTACGGACATCTTGTCAAGCAATCCATAAAAATTTAAAAGACTCATCATAAACAAATTCTAACAATACTGACAAAGAAAAAAAGGCTACATTCAGCGGACTGAAGACTGAAGAATTTAGGGCTTGAAAGCCCTGAATTCCGTATAGATTTGGATTAATGTACGACATATTGGAGTAATTGTCTGCTCTATCATAAGTTTAATCTCAAAAAATGACTCTTCCTAAGGCAGAGCATCTTATCCAAAGAAAAATAAGAGTTATCGAAAGTTTCAAAGAGAAGCCCAGCGAAAAACGCAGACTGCTTTAGACTGAAAAGTGAAGAGCAATTTTCAAGCCGTAACTCCTGTGTTCCAAATTTTAAAATTGTCAGTATTAATGCAAACCAATTCATCCAAAGTTTGGCGGACAGAATGAAAGCAAGACTCTGCACTGAATCGGATAGCAATGCCCAAATTCTTAAGAATATCTCAATAGTAGAAACTGCAAACATTTTAAACAACGCGCAATTAAACACCCGCAAACTGACATAAGGATTTGTCGGCGCTTTCATCTAGATTCTAGATGAACTTAAAGCTGTGCAAGGACTGTGAGAGTTAACTGATGACTGTGCTGCAAAATTCATATCAAAAAATTTGAAACCCATTTTACACGCTGTGGCTACTTTGCCTTGTTCTACGGCAAAATGTGAAAGAGGATTCAGCTTAATGAACAATGCAATCACAAATTTAAGGTCATCTCTTCTGTTCACTTATGTGTCAAGTTTAATGTTTATAAATGCGAACGAATCTTTTGCATCTGTTCAAACCTGATAAATAAGTTAAATCCTGTCTAGCCACCGTTCTGCTATAGACAGTAGAGTTAAGAAGAGCTACGCCGATTCAGCTACCCATGACGAGAAAAAAGTTCATTGGGACATATTTAATTAAGTAATAAAATTTGGACTTTAATTTCAGTATTTTTGTAGTATTGTAATTTGTAAATTCCTACAGATAATAAAAAATTGAAACACGAGTTTTACATTGACAGTACCTTGGTATCAGATATTTCATTTTCATGGCGGGGGAGATGGCAAATCGGGACAACACACAATATTAGCGTGTATATTGACCAGAGTATACGGACTGGTTTTTTACCAATACAGCCCTGATTATACCGAACTTAGTTAGAGCTGGCACATGTTACACGTTTTGTGTTTAATAACGTTCATAATTGCTGTACAGTCGACCCCCCCTATAACACTGTTGATAATTCCGTTTTATATGAAATCCATGTTGTACGAGTCACTTATATTTTACAAATACATACGTGTGTCGGGCTGTGAACGGCTCACGTATTTGTAAAATCTAAGTGACTCGTACAACATGGATTTCGTATAAAACGGAATTATCAACAGTGTCATAGGGGGTCGACTGTATTTTATTCTTCACAATTTAATAAGAGTACAGTACACCTAACAAAATTTTCTTATACTCGGATCATGTGTAGATTTTGTGAATGTATATATACAGTTCGTGCCTGGAAAATAAATATTATATGCACACGAATTGTTGAGAATGTTGACTGTGCAATAATGCGTGTTCATTAATGTTTTTGCAGGTTTTTATTCGGCTTTAACACAGTACAATCGTGCAATGTGTCATCTTTACACTGATTAAATAACGTGCTTAAATAAATCGAAAGCGTACAATAACGTGGTATAAAATATACTGTACAACAATACCTAAATGTTTGAAATGTTGCTTATCGAACTTTGCCGACATAATTACAAAGTCGTCCGGATACCACCCCCGTAGATACCTGATTACGAACTTTTACTGTTAAAAAAAAATTAAAATAT